AATGATGAAAACGTTTGTAAAAGCTTACAGAGTAACGATTCCGGACTTGTAAAAAGACGAACAAAAGGTTAACAAGGTATGGCAGAAAAAGCCTGTTTCAATTTGAGTGATGGYGAGGATAGCGTGCCACCGTGGGCAGTCATAGCGCCACAATACATCAATGTAATAAGACCATGTGTTAACACAACAAGCCGTCATTATATTTTGGAGTACAACGGAGAAGCACCTTGGCAATGGAGAAAATTACAGCCGTCTTATCCAGCTATATACCTAAATGCCATGAATGAAAGCCTGAGACCCCTGGGATATACAATTTCTTCTAAGGCACACAGAGTGGGGACGCAATTAAAAACCACAACATATCGATTCAACAAAAGAGTTGGAAAAATGAATTCAAAGTCAAGAAAAATGACAATATCATCATCTTGGTTCCAAATGGTTATTCAAGAGGATGAGATCAAAACTGTACCTGAAAATGTTATCAAAGAAAAAGAGGAGGAAATGAAAAAATTACAAGAGGAGCTAGTGGAGGTGAATAGGCATTTGACACATCAAAGTGCAAAAGTGCTAGAACTGTTGAAGGAATCTTTGAGTTTCAACGAAGGAAATGACAGTTTAAAGAAATATAAGAAAGAATTAATAAACAAAGGGAAACAAATACAAGACGTGCAGTGTCGTCAGAAGAATAGGAAGATCAAACAAATTAGGTGAGTTGCAAATCATACACACAGATGTAAATTATTTACTGCTACRGTGTTAATTTACTATTCATTGCACTTATTTATTTCTTTATTTTATTATAGGGACCAAGCAAGTTCAGTGTTGTGGTTTGCAGAAACATTTGGGTTGACACCTAAGAGTTTGACTGTTAAGGAGCAAYGTACTGGCACAGAACATAAAATTACTCTTTGTAGTGGTAGGTTGTCAGGCTTTGTAMAATTGAACTCAAAGTGAAAAAGATATATTTATTTAAACTCATACATGCTCCAATATATTTATTTAGGAACAACACCTTTGCCAAATAATCAACCAGAGCAACCCTCTGTGGTAACAGATCAAGGTGCTCCACCTCAGACTCCACCTCAAACTCCACCTCAGACTCCAACTCAGACTCCAACTCAGACTCCAACTCAGATCCCACCTCAACAAACACAACCAACAGACAACATCTCACCAACAAGAAAGTACAGGATAGAGAAATTTCTTGCTCTAGAAGAAGAGGAGAGAGAAAAAGTGATGGAGCTTACCTCCATTCTCAATAAATTTGGGGTGTCCTTCGAGGCATATCATGAAATCACCCAAATACCAGGAAACAGTTCCATGACAAGATCTTACCTTCTTGAGGGATGCCAGGGCCAACTTGACTCCAAATGGAACATTACTAAGACACCAGGAAATACTGCAGGGGCTGAGCTCAACTTCCATGAGCTATTGCAAGAGCAACTTAGACAGCATGTAAGTCTTGAAATGTAAATCTAACCATGCCCATGCACGTGATTAATTGCTTACAAATTTGAATTTCAGCTTGAAGGAAAACCAAATGATAAAGAAGAAATGACTTTCAAGGTATTGTCTAAAATTTTTCATTCCATTTTTAAATAGGGGTATTATGTTAAAAAGATGACTTCACTGCATGTGATGTAGACTAATTTGTAGATCAATATATATTGCCAATGAAGTACATTTTTGTCCTCCAAGGTAAAGATAAGTGGAGATGGTGCCGCACTTACTAGGAAAAGTAACCTCATGGTGTGTTCATTTTCCATCATTGATGACAATAAAAACATGATGTCAAGCTCAGGTAATATTTGACTTCTGTTTTTTTTGTCTATAATCAGTGCACTAGCTGTTAATATCAATATGAATCCTTATGTGCAAATGTTTCTCATTTGTAGRGAATCACACTATTGCAGTGGTTCAAACTGCTGAGAGCTATGACAACCTTCAAGTTTCCCTGTCAAATGTCATTAGAGATGTGAATAAGACACAGGAACAAGGGTATATAGAGGTTGATAACCATAAAGTCAAAATAGAATTATTTCTTGGAGGTGACTACAAGGTAAATGTAATTACATTATCATATTCACATTGACTGTATAATCTAAATATACAAAACCTTCTCTTTAACTCCATAGTTTCTCTTATTGTGTCTTGGAATGAAGGCGGCCAATTCCTCACATGCCTGTATTTATTGCAAAGTCAGTACAGAAGAAAGGTAGTACAGCTGCTTCTAGTACTTAGAACATACTACATGTATAAAAGTATTGATATTGTAGATATGCATGCATCTAAAAACTAAAATCAAGATTACTAATATATGATTGACAGGCAGGACATGTCAAAGCCAGAGAATTATTACCATTCCATGAATGTCAAAAGAAAACTTCATGACAAATGGCACAAAGACCCTGGTTGCCAGAAATCACCTTTGTTTAATATCCCTCTGGACCACTGCATGGTTGACGAGCTACATGCCTTATTGCGAATAACCGACAGACTGGAGCATGCATTAATACATGATGCAGTTGACTGGGATGAGGTTAGATCCAAACAAACTGTAACTAGGATTTATATTAAGTAAGTTTAAAGATTTCACATTTTACCTCTCAAATTCACAGGAAGACAACTTTGGGGTACCCAAAAAAGACCAAAAAAAATCACACCTCAACAACCTATTGCATGCTATACATACCTGTGGAGTAGGATTTCAGGTAGGTATTCTTTTTAAGCTTTCAATGATATTAATCTCCATTAATATTAAACTCCGAAATGATTTAATAAGCTAACTACCACAATTCCCCCCAAAAAACACATAACACAATGTAAAATGTATTGCTACTTTACTTTAGATATGGTATGACAAAGACAATAAGCTGGATTGGACTTCGCTAATGGGTGATGACAAAAAGAAATTGTTGAGGAATCTGCCCTCAAAGTTTTCTTCATTTGTGCACCCAAAAATATTAACATCAGTCACAAAGCTTTGGAAGGTACTTATCATTTAGTTGTAATAGGTCTTTCTTTTAAGAAAAAATAAGGTAAAGCATGTATATTAAAAAACATGAGTGTGAAGTATGTGGATACATTAAATAGCCATATTAATGATTTTGAGCTTAAATCTACCACATTTTGTTACAGGATTTTGCCGCACTTTATGATGTGATGACTAACCTATCTCCCACTACAGAAGACATCAATACCTTTCACACAAAGGTAAAAGAATATTTAGTTATATTATTCTCATTTTTTAAAATGGCCAYAATACTTTAAAGTACTGTCAACCACTGTATATCAGTTTTCTCAATGGTTGTATCTCTATTAGACCTACATGTATTGCTACAAGCAATCTTACAGTATATTATATAAAATTTTCATTGTCAGGCAAATGAATGGGCCAAGCTTCTCCTTAGCATGAAAAGTGAAGGCTATAACTGGATGAACCCCATCACACCTTATATACATATCATGGTGTACCACATGCCRAAACTACTTGAGGAGTATTGTAGYCTTAAAATTTTTACAGGGCAAGGTATGGTAAACAAATGAATAATTAATTATTTAAAATTATTTAATTACAATTATTCATATTGGATTTCTACATTTTATATACTGTAAATTTGTGTGAAATAACAAAAAGTAATGTGTGCAAAAGATGTACACATTTTATTTTATTACTCCTGCTTCCATAGAAACAACAATGCAGCCCACACTAGTTTAACCCAAGTTATCATCTCTTTATAAATTTAAGGTGTAGAGAAAAAAAATGATGTAATGAGGAAAGCATTCCATAGGTCTATCAACAGATGGGATGCTTGCAAGTCCCTTTTGCTTATTGATAAGAGACAAGAAAGTCTGCAAACAAGCACAAGACAAAAGAGGCCTTACCAMAAGCTCGATAAMARGWTTTGGGATCAAGGTGGCAAACTGTTAGTAGCAGGAAAATACAAAAGAATTTCTCAACCAGTGCTGGCAGAAGTTGAAACAGAGAATATARCTCCAACCATTTCCACAACTGCAGAAGTACATACTGAAGATTCTTTTAAAAAAATGCTAAACTCACAGCTTAGAGATGTAGTGTGTCAGCTAACTGGGGAGAGACTGAACAAGAGAACACGCAGAAATATTCTTATTGACACAATTTTAACAAAACAATCCCAACAGTAACTGAACATTTTATAAACAAATTATGTTGAAATTGAGTACAAACACTACATATTTATTACTCTGTCCTGCAGAGTTTATAACATCTACATGTTATGTTTTCTAAAACTTATTGTTATCTTCTGTATCCATCTTCTTTCTTTTTTTGAACCATCCTTGTTGTACATTTGGCGTGATCGTGAAAGGAAAGGATGAAGTTGAATAGGATAAGTAATTTTTCGAACTGTCCCACGTCTTCTATAAGTCATATCCCATCCTAGGGGAAAGTATCTCCTTGGAAAGTCTTGAGCACTTAGTGCATATGTCTCTTTTGAACAGACTTTCCCCCTTCCACCAAAAATGTGCCTGAAAACAGCATGGTTGAAAATGATGGTGGTATCGGACTGAAGAGAGTCTGTCAAGCCACCATCAATTGCATTTCTTATCAACTCGACATGGGCTAGCACAGTTTTAGGTTCAGGGTTTGGTTTTTCAAATGTTCTGCAATTAAGAAACATTATCTTAGCATATTTATAGGTACTCTTTGTTCATCATGTATACAACCAGTAATTACATGACATTTGTACAAAATCGTTAGGAATATAAGAATATAAGCCAATGAAGATGTTAGTCAGAACTTACTCAATGACAGACTTGTCTAATATGTGTGATTCTATTTCCCACGAATTGTACTCGGAACCCCACGAGTCCCATTTAATTAGAAATTCTCTCTCGCTATCCTGCATCAAAGAACATACGCGCATTATTAAACGGCTCATAGCTAGGAGGAAACGTGGAAAATCCCGATAGAGGAAACGACTTACAGCTTACTAAATTAGCTCATAAATTATATATATAAGGAAGTAAAAAAATTGTTTATTTTGTTATAGTCTAGAAATGATGGGCCTTCCCTTTGCTGGACAAAATAAATGTAGATGTAGAAAATGTAATCGCTGTAAAACTCACCTTTTTCTGCCTGACGGCCAATATTTCCTCCACCTTRTAAACCCCCTGCGTTTTAAGCTTTTTTCTAGCCTTTAACTGTTTTTCGCTCCATTCGTCCGCCGTTGAAAACGAATGGAGTCGTTTATAAAATCCTTCTTCACGTTTAGCCAACTTAGCCGCCATCATGAATTTTGAGACACRCTAGATATAACCGGAAGTTTTGGGATTTCAACCAATCATGTCGCGATTAAAACAATTACATTGTTTGGAGCTCGTACTCATTCTTCCACACGGTCATGACCTATTTTTGAGGGCAATTGTACGCGATGTGCTTTCTGTACTTTTATTACTCAAGCGCTTACTGAAATAACTCCTTAGGTTGTTAAAATTTCAAAATCCTTGTTGTAAAACAATTTTTATTTCATCTTTGATAATAATCAAGTAATCGCTTTTAGTACGGTATTTTGATCTATTTTAGCTCAATTGGTACGAATTTCCACGGCTGATGTTTGATCAGTCCCGAAACACATCAGACACTACCCTAATACCATATGGACACTTCTATTTATGGACTTCTAGTTAATGAAAAATCCCTTTTTGTGAAATTTTTTTTTGCTTATTAAACTAGCCGATTTTTATGCGCAACAAGAGAACACAAATACACGTATTAGAARAAAAAAAAACAACCTTGGGCTCTCTGCCTTAAGGCTCGCAAAGGACCCTTGCAATAGAGACGCTCCGACCTGAATGCATTAGGCTTTCCAGAGGTGCAGAATCCGTTGCATCATGTGGTTGTTTTAAGAAACGCTTTAATACTTATCTGTTGTCCATTGATGAAAAGTAAACTTTGATTGTTATGCTTCAAATTTCAAAGTTTCAAATTTCTTTCAATTCTTCATACTGATGAAACACCCCCATAATGCCACGGATTTCTACAACTCCGGAAAAGCTTATATCATACGGTTTCTTTAAAAAAAAACAATTAGTTTTATCTATTCTATTCTAATCTAGTCTTCTCCATTTTCCATTCCTGGGTGGACAGCTTTCTACAGGTTTTGCAACACAAGTGTTAAGGCATGCGATAGATCGAATAGCCAACTTTCGATATTCTGGTTGAGTGATCAAGCACAAAACAATCTGAGTCGAGGCTCCGGGGAAACGAAAGAATAATTACAATATGCATTTTGCAACAACAGGTCACGTGACCCTACCCCCCGTAAAAAGAGGCGTTATGTCGAAATGGACACCAGAAATGGAAAGAGCACCTCTTTGCCATCCAGCACATTTTCCTATACAAATCCAAATATTCGATTTTATATTCAATGCCATTTCTCCTAGAGTCAACATTATTAGCTAAAACTTCGCGTAAATTCTTACTAATATTGAGGTGCTCTTTCTATTTATGGTGTTCATTTTGATACATCGTCTCTTTTCATGGGGGGTAGGGTCACGTGACCTTTTGATGCAAAAGGCCTATAACGCTATTGTTTCCCCAAAGCTTTGACTTGGATCGTTTTGTGCTTGATTACTAAACCAGAATATCGACAGTTGTCTGTTATTAAATAAGTTGAATTTTGTGAAGTTCTTTTTKACTGAGAAGTAGATTCTTGGACCGTGAAGAGGAATGACAGATGATTGACACGACGGCTCACGGACGGCCGCTGCACAGCTAAGCAAAGAAGAATACTGCAACACACAGATACGTCATGTCAGTGAATATTCAACGAGTTCTGCGCATGTCTGCGAGAGCAGCTGACTCAACAGCATTGTTTCGGTCGATATTTTGAGCTTTAGGTTTACCAGTGGTATCCAGATTAAAGTTTTATATACGGAAGGATATCACTTTTCGAGAGCATCCCAACCATTGTCTGACTACTTCCTAAGGTTCTTTGTATTGCACCAATAGGCCAACTAAACGTAGATCTTTCAAGCCGGAGCCTGTCTGTGTTGGTTCAGCTGGCGTAGGCTGGTAAACGCGTCCTTTACATTGACCTGTACTCTAGTATTATCCTTTGTTCATAAAGTGGTCAGTTATTGTACCTTAACAATGGACTTGAGAATTGTACTTCTGACCGTAATCTCTTTTTGTGTTGTTGAGCTGGTTGCATCATACAGGTAAGAGATCCTAAAGTCCTCTTGTTAGGTTTGATAAACATTTTTTTTTCAATTTTAAAATCTATCAAAACATGAAAAACTCTGAAACAACCTCTGGGCTGATTTAAGTCAGGGCACGGCTTACTCACAGATTGAACCCTGAAACAACCTCTGGGCTGATTTAAGTCAGGGCACGGCTAACTCACAGATTGAACCCTGAAACAWCCTCTGGGCTGATCTAAGTCAGGGCAAGGCTAACTCAAAAATCCAACCTTGAAACAACCTCTGGGCTGATCTAAGACAGGGCAAGGCTAACTCACAGATTAAACCCTAAAACAACCTCTGGGCTGATCTAAGTCAGGACATGGCTAACTCACAGATTGAACCCTGAAACAACCTCTGGGCTAATCTAAGACAGGGCAAGGCTAACTCACAGATCAAATTGGGCATGGAGAAAACCCCTCAAATCAAGGGAGAGACCTAAGAAACTCTATTAGCATGTGATGCCAAGTCCAGGAATGGAACCTGAAGCCCCAGAGGTGAGAGGCAAGTTCACCACCGCTTCACCACTCCTAATTTCCCAGTCACAAAACCGCGCCCAAAAGCTTTAAACTCATAACAGGTAGGGAAAAAAATTAGTAAATGGCATCTTTTTGGTTAGATCCAAAAATCAAATCCTTAATTCCAATTCGATCATGAAACCAGCAGAGGGCTACAAGTTTGTTATCGTTTGGCTATTAAATGCTACCCCAGTTAAACGAGTATTTTTTAAATATATATTTCAGAATCAATGAACGCGCCCTTCCAAATCGCCAGCTGCTCGTCGGCTATTGGGGACAGAATTCTGCTGGACCCAAGTTTGGAAAATGGAAATACGAAAGAGACCTGAGACACTTCTGTAACAACTTTAAATTCGATATCTATGTTATTGCCTTCGTACACAGGCTCTTTGATCCTCGCCACGCAGGTATGAATTTTCTTTGGCCTAATAAGGGAATGGCTAGTATTTGTCACCTGGAGAAAAGGGCTCGGAGGATTTTTGTTGCAAAATCATAAAGATTCACTGATTTCCCGAAGAGGCACTAAATTTCCTTCTTTTCCCCTCACTAGTTGTTGCTACGAAGTGATGTTTCTCTGGTTCTTTGATTCAGGTCAATATTTACCGGATCTCCCCAACAGGCACTACAGTGGCGGATCCAGGGGAGGGGTGCAGGGGTTGCGCACCCCTCCATAGTTTGACTTTGTGCCCCTACTTCAAAGATTTAACCAATACAAAATAATGCTTTTTCCCTTTGATTCTAAGGCGCGCACCCCTCCCTGGGTTAACTATGTGCGCTGCACCCCTCCCTGAACGAATTTCTGGATCCGCCCCCTGCACTACATCTCTTTATAATCCCCTCTTACTAGTTGTTGCAGCTGAGTAATCCCTCCTTTGATAGTAACATGTCAATGTACAGCTGATTCTCTACAGTTGTCTAAAAACCATCTGCTCCCAAATACTCCCCACCCGCCACTTCCCCCGCTATTAATAATGACATGTTCCCAAATAAATGAATAAGTGGGATGAATGAAATATATTTCAGATCGACTGCCAGGAATGAATTTTGCCCATCATTGTAGCTATGTGCCCGATCCAAAATACCCTGGTATATACGAGTGTGCATCAATTGGTGGGGCTATACGAGACTGTCAAAAACTCGGCAAGAAATTCTTGATCTCCCTTGGTGGTGATACGTGCGATGGTACTCTAGGAAGTGCTGCTAACGCGCGCTTCCTGGCTAAGAATATCTGGAATATGTTCCTTGGTGGTCAGGAGTTGCCAGGCAAAAGACCATTCCTAAGGTAAGTAAATTGTCACTTAAGAACGGAACCTTAAACTTTCATGATAACTTGAAGAAGCCTCTTAGATAGTCAACTCGCATATCGGACAATCAAACAACTGTAACGACATTTTGGCTAATAAAGCCAGATCAGGGAGCTTCAGGGCTAACTCATGATCACAGATCCAATTTAAATTGAACGTTTGACGGGAGAGGGGGGG